CCCCTTCAGTCACCCACTGCTCTGGAAAACAGAACACAACACGGAGTACCTACTCCTCGTCTCCAAACTTTATTATTTTTGTTGTTGTAGCAGACTGGCTACACGGGGTCCCAATAAATTCTTGCAAAAGATGATCAGTAACTCGGTGGTGGCCGCAGCGATGCGTGTGTGTTCACCTGTGCCATCAGGCGTGGAGCGGACAAAAGATGGCAGCATCTTGATGGAAGCAGCATCATGGGTCTGTTGGCCCAGGCCGGCATCCATGGCAGCTCGCATGCGCACCCTCACCTGGCACAGGATGTCATTCGACAACACCAGGCTCTGCAGCCGTACCTGCACCTGCACCACCACTTGAAATGTCAGCGTACTGCGCCCTTCATATAACACACACCTTACAGCACAGCCTCTGTAAATTGTCTAGCAAATCCAGACATGAGCTAGTTACTCCATCTCACAAGTCATTGACTGAGAACGGGTGGCAGGGTTGACAATGGCTGGTCAAGCTTCAGTGTGGCACGAAAAAAGCGCCCTACCCCAGATTATTGTTTTAATTCTTGATTGAAACAATGTTTCTGGTACACGCAGACATCCAGGATTGATTTGTGTGTAGCCTGTGAAAGTCTCAGCGACAGGCCGTGTGCAAGGTGCGTGAATGCCCCATGGGCAGGCTGTCTCCAGGGATTATGAATTCAATCTAGTTTCCTGCGCAGTAATTAATGTTCATCTTACCGGTGGGTAAGGACTTAGTTTTGTTGGGATGATTCCCAGGCCACCCTTAATGATGTTGCATCTGAAGGTATTTTCGAAGTGAAATATTTTAATTCATTAATAAAATCACTTAACCTTGTTCTGACCTCTGCGGTGTTAAGGCTCCTGCACTGCCCCTCAGCCAAAATGCGAGCGGTCAGCACAGTGCAGTGGAATAATTTTAATGTGAACAAGCCAAGCAGTGAGTGAACGAGTGGGTGAAATAGCGATTAAATAGAGTTATAGAGCAATTTATGAGTGAAGGAGTCGATCGCCTAAGGAGGTAATCGAGTGAGTGAAGGAGGTAGGGGAATAAATTGAGTGAAGGAGGGTTGAATGAGCAAGTGGTTGAGTGAACAGAGAAGGTGAGTGAAGAATGTGAGTGCGTGTGAGGCAGCTGTGAGTCGAGACGTCCATTTTAATTTTGTTTGGCAGCGTGTGGGGCAATGAGCCGCGTCTCGCTTTGCAGGATTAATCAACTCTCGGAAATTAAATCGGAATCCAGAATATCTGGGCCAGGACCCTGCGGTGCCCACTCACTCATACACTCGCTCAATCCTTCAATCACTCCACTCACAAAATCCTTCAATCACTCCTTCACTCCTTCAATTACAGTACTTACTCATCCACTCACAAAATCCTTCAGTCAATCCTTCACTCCACTCACAAAATCCTTCAATCAGTCCTTCACTCCTTCAATCACTCACTCCACTCACAAAATCATTCAATCACTCACTCTGTCCTTCACTCCACTCACAAAATCCTTAAATCAGTCCTTCACTCCTTCAATCACTCACTCCACTCACAAAAGCATTCAATCACTCACTCTGTCCTTCACTCCACTCACAAAATCCTTCAATCAGTCCTTCACTCCTTCAATCACTCACAAAAACATTCAATCACTCACTCTGTCCTTCACTCCACTCACAAAATCTTCAATCAGTCCTTCACTCCTTCAATCACTCACTCCACTCAAAAAAGTATTCAATCACTCACTCTGTTCTTCACTCCACTCACAAAATCCTTCAATCAGTCCTTCACTCCTTCAATCACTCACTCCACTCAAAAAATAATTCAATCACTCACTCTGTCCTTCACTCTACTCACAAAATCCTTCAATCAGTCCTTCACTCCTTCAATCACTCACTCCACTCAAAAAATCATTCAATCACTCACTCTGTCCTTCACTCCACTCACAAAATCCTTAAATCAGTCCTTCACTCCTTCAATCACTCACTCCACTCACAAAATCATTCAATCACTCACTCTGTCCTTCACTCAGTCATTGGGTTCTACCCTCAGTGTCCTTAAAAGGACTTGATGTAACCCAGAGGCAGTTTCACGTCTCATGGATTTATTTCATATCCAAGTTAAATAAATAAGAACACATACAGTACAAAGGTTTTCTGTTATCACGACTGTCTTTTACGCTGTGAAAGACAACCCTTCACCCAGTCATTCACTCACTCCCTCATTCCTTCACCCTCCTGAAAAATAAAGTCTAGCGTGTGCCTCTTGGATAAACAGCGAATTTGCTGCATCCTCACTATTACTATAGCGTATTCACCCTCACTCTCCGCCTTTGTTCACGCATAACCCGTGGCCTGCATGCTGAGAAGTGTTTCTTGGCGGCTGTTTGGCCGAGGGGGCCTCGGAGGGGGATCCCTAGGACACCCCCAAAGGGCTCCCAGGTCAACCCCGCGAAGCGCGCCCCGGGGTCACCATGGCAACGCGCCCCCCGGGGTCACCATGGCAACGCGCCCCCCGGGGTCACCATGGCAACGCGCCCCCCGGGGTCACCATGGCAACGCGCCCCCCGGGGCCCTGGCGCGATGTCGCAATGCGTCCGTCTCAGTCGGGTGCGAGGTCCCCTCTCACAAGAACAATCTCTCTCGCAGGGGTCTCACTCACGGGGGTACCAGGACCTCACTCTTAAGGGATCCCCTCACACGAGGGTTCCAGGTTTCCTCTCGCAGGGATGCTCCCACAGGGGCCCCAGTGTCCTGATCACAGGGGTCCCAGGTCTTCATTACCACCGTGACAGGAAAATCCCCAACCTTGCCATTGCAAGTGGCGCACGCACACACACACTGACACAACAGCTGGCGAAGCAACACCGCACGCGCCCTGTGCTACACCGCGTAAAACACCACACGACAGCCATAACACCACACCACGCGCACAGCCACACATCCGCACTGCGGTTAAAACAACCGCACGATCACCACGCCAACTCACGCCTCTCGGCTGTCGTGGTATCGCGCTCACCGCGGACATGGTGGCGCCTCCCCTGGCCTCCCGGCTCTCTGGAGCTTGGATAGCGCGCCCCTTGGACCCGATTCCCACTGCTCTTGCCCTCGGGGAAGCGAGCAGCTTCGGCGACAGCGAGCGGCGACGAGGGGTGAAGAGGAGTGATGTGGAATGAGTGGGTGACGAGGGGTTAGTGAGAGGTGATGGTGAGAGTGGGGTGACGAGCCAGGGAATGTATCCCGGGGTCGTGGCGAGGAACGCGGCGAAGGAAGGAGTTGACCTCTCAACCACAACCCGAGCGTGAGCAGAGCGAGGAGCACTCCCCCCTCCTCCTCCTCCTCTCTCTGCCCCCTCCTCCTCTCTCTCTGCCCCCTCCTCCTCCTCTCTGCCCCCCCTCCTCCACTCCGCCCCAGTCCTCCCCTCCGTCATTTCCCTCCTCTCCCCTTCCCCCCCTCCCTCTCATTCTAGCCCCCACCCCCTACCATTACCTATCCCCGTTCATTCCCGTAGCCATGCTTCCTCTACTACATCCTTCCTCCACGCATTCCATTTCTGCCCTCCCCCTGCACTCAGGTGAGGAGTAAATGGCGCTCCACCCCGCAGGACCCACATCGATTCGTCCAGACCTTGCTCCCCCATACTCGGGCCCCGCGACCTTCGGACCCTGTCCCCACCCAGGACGTGAAACCCCAGGCCTCCCTACCTGCATTCTGCATTCCTGCGGCCAGGTGTCCCCTTGGCCAACGTTTGTTCTGATGACCTTCAATGTGGGTCTCACGCTCGCCCGCCATAGCGCCCTCCACGTCGCTCAAGAGTTTTATTGTCCCAGGTTCAACTCAAATTTCCCAGGCACCAAGTGTCCGGCACCGTCCTCACCCGTAAAGTTTTATAAAAAAAAATGCAAAACAAATACATGCCTATAACTGGCTCATTCATGTAAAATATATACCGAAAAAAATACCGATTACTAATCTCAAGTTTCCAAACAATGCCCAATTGGTTCAAGCATGCCCAGCTTTGCTGATAATACACTGTCAAAACGGGTCCATACTTTGCTTGAGTTTAACCAATGCTGGGTTGTATAAAAAATCAGACTATGCCCCCATGTAAAAAAGATTCAAGAATGTTTTACACATCCCTTCAGCCATACAGACTCCTGGGAGTACAGTATCAGTGACTGTAGATATTTAGAAACATGCGTTTACAGTATTTTACTGCTATAAAATTCCACGGGTTAAGCCACTTCGTTGAGCTATCATTTGTGACCAGGTCACTTCTGAAAAAGAGCTATACAGCTCAATAAGCCTTACCTGATAAAAAAAAAATGCCCGAGACCTTTGAGTTAAGAAATCTGTAACTCTGCTCTGTCTCTGTCAAAAGACCTGTGAGCCAATGATCTCTGCAACCTTGCATGGCCTACGACTTAGACCTGTGAGTTTGTCATCTATGCAATCTTGCACAACTTGCATCCTATAGACCTGTGAGCCAACACTCTCACCTATTTCCATGACTATGTGCTTGAGTGCAGGAAGCCGTGACACCGACCTGAGCCTCAAGCGTTGACCACACCTGGTATCGCAAGTACCTTGAATGCCCAAAGCTCCCTTAGTCCTAAAGACCAGTTGACTCCATTTACTATAGGCCTCTTGGTCATGACCCAGCATTTTGGTAAATTTCCCAGATTAACCGGAACTTAATTGGGAACTTTACCACAAGTTCCTTTGCCTTAATGAGATATAGACTTCGACAAACTTTAATATGTTACTTATACATTGGATTTCCTGTTTGAATTAGTACTGAATTGATCCTGTTATAACCACTTACATCTTGCTTATTTGACGTGTTTTCTAATTGTCTCATAACACTTGGTATTCCATTGTGTAGTCCGATGTTGCTTTTGGCAAACCAAAGTTATTTATTTTCTCTTTGTCTTGACTTTTGCCCTGGATTCTGGTTATCTTGACAGGTCCAATGGCTCAAACAAATACAATAGAGACTTTGTATAAAAGTTTCTGTAATTGACTTTATTTTGGACAGGGGGAAATTATGAGTTAAGGCTAAGATTACATCTCTATAAACTCAAGCTGTGACTGGATTCCGTCCCGTGTGGATTTCAGAGGAAATTTGAGTTTGGACCCTTCAGAGATTCTCCAATTTCGACTTTTAGAGGCAATAGCCCAAGCTGACCCTCTGAATCACCCACCCATTCAAGCAACAACAGCTGCCACTAAACAATATGGTTCATATATTGTGAGCAAACGTGCTTATTAAGAACCAAGAAAACGTCTACACCACTTATCTAACTGTGCTCTTGGCGAGGTGTGAGACTAAAAAAGTTGGCATTAAGGTTAAAGGTCACTGCAGTCACTCCGCCCAGGGCCCAGCTCCAACTGCAGATGGCCCAAGCCGACTCTCATGCCTGGCTGCCCTGGCTCAGCCTGGACGCTGCGATGAGCGCAGCCCCTTTTCCGCAACCGTCTTCCGAGATGCGGAATGTGAGCACGCAGTGGGGCGTCAGCTCGTGCACCGTCTTCTGCATCACGCGTGAAAAACTGCGCCCACACACACACATGCTAATTTTACAATCATCACAGGCACCCCCTCTATAGTATCTGACTTTCTCTGGTGAAAACAGTGAATGTTTAAAGTCACTGCAGCCTTCCTGAGTGACATTCTCTATATTGTACAAGTAAAGTTGCCACCTTTTCAAGTCCAAAGCGTGGCATACTCAACCAATCTAGGCCGAGCACAACTGCAGCATTTTGTAATTAAATTAAATACAGTACTGCCAAATCTTTATCCAACTAAATTCCTGCCACCAGAACAAAGATGCCAATTCTAAAACTGTCCGGGTCAAACCAGGTTATAGCTGTGTAGTGTTGTAAAGATGAGTAAACTCCTTAGGAGGCACACTCTGTTTATTGTTATTCTTTCCTCATACAATCCTTAACACACACAGAGGGGTATACGGTCCCCTCACCTGATACCCTAGGGAAGTACAGCCTCCTAGCTTGGCAGGACTTGCATGTCTACCGCTAATCTCCTAGATACCTAAGGAGGTACAGCCTCCTAGCTTGGCGGGACTCGCACGTCTACCGCTACCCTATCCCAGAGTCCTCCGGCTGGGACCTAGGGGAGGCTATCTGACCCACCGCTGGCCCGGTGGGTCCTGACCACTGGGTATGCCGAGCCTTAGCCCTCAAAAGGGCTGGAAGGCTCGTCCAGGGTCCTAGCTAGTCTTCAGTCTAGGCTTCGGTCTTCGTGTAGGGAGAGAACTCCCCGAGCTCTGTTGGGTCACCCTTCGTATACTCGTTCGTGGCCAGGTATAACCGATCACACATTCCCACGTGGAACTGTCTGATTGGTTCTCCCCAAACTGTGGCTACGATCCACTTCACCTCGTCTGACCCCAACCGTTATGTACACCGAGGTAACGCTGCACTGCCCCCTTGATACCTGGTGGCAATGCAGGTTACCAAACAGTGCGTAGTTAACACCTCTACACCTGGAAAGGTGGCAACCTTGGCGCAAGATCTTGCCCCATTGGTGGGGCCTTACCCAGGGTGCAGCTTGTACATGGTGCCATCCACGCCCACTGTCAGCTTCAGCCACTGCACACGGCGGCCCTCTCTCATTTTGTTCACCACAGCAGCCATGGCGGCACCACAGAGCTGGGCGGCACGGCGTGATACCACTTGGCAAACCTCCTTCACCACCAGATTGTCGTCGCAGGTCGGGACTAGCTCCAACTGCCGTAGGATGGAGCGCACCTCCAGCAAATCTAGCCGGTCACTAGGTTGCGGTTAGATAAAAACACGTTATCCATCATATCAACTATGCCAACCTACACTGCCCCATCAGCCACCCCTATTTCCAGAAACCACACCATCTAACTCATTCACCATGTCAATCCGCACAATTTGGAACATTAACCATACCATCCACTGCATGAGCCACATCACCCAGTCTATCAACTATGTCAACCACACCAACCCACTACATCGACCATACCACACACCGCACCAGTAGCACTCTTTCTCTGTCCACCGAATGGTCGTTGATGTGACACAAAAAGGTCTTTGTATGTCAACACACAGCCATTGCATTTAAAATCAACTTGAAGCCAGTCACCTGTGAAATAGTCATTCCTAAACACTGTCCACGTTAAGAGGAGGATGCTACCTCTCAATGTAGGACAGGAAGCGCGTTTCGAAGATACCGGGTGTGCGCAGCCTCTCGGACACGACCCCACGGAACAGGAGGCCCAGCTCGGTCAGGTCGATGAGGATGTTCCGCACAATCTCACCCAGGTACATCCCGCTCATCATCTTCTCAAACCTCAGGAAGACAAAGAAACATGATTATTCCCAACCCTTTTCATTTCTTTATGAAATTATAGAGGGCAGTGATGAGGATAAGGTGATAGGGTGCCATGGTGGCGAGATGTTAACTGCCTCGCCTGGCAGTGGGTTCAATCCAGACCCTGACGCCTGTATATTTGGAGTCTGCATGTTCTCCCCGTGGTCGCGTGGATTTTCTCCGGGCTTTTCTCCGGGTTTCCCTCAACATTTAGAAACGTGCATTTAGAGTATATGGCTACTATAAATTTCCACATGATAAGCCACTTTGTTGAGCTATCATTTGTAGCCAGGTTGCATCTTAAATAGAGTTATATAGCTCAGCAGGCCTTACCTGGTAAAATAAAACATAGATATAGTGTGCAGGCTTGGTACCTCTGCTCGCCAGATTTGAGGGAAGACTTGTCCGTGTTTCTGTCAAAGTCTGTCATCATGTGCTCGAGTGAACCGTTGTCCCCAAAAGCTCCCAGCTCCACATTCACACACATGTGGGGGCCTTCCTCCCCCTCCCCGGGGCTGCCTATGCCTCCCTCCCCCTTCACCAGCTCCACTTTATCCAGCTCCTCCATGTAGCACACATTGCAACCCGTGCCTGTGGAAAAGAGACCGTGGGTTGCAGTGACATGGAACCGATCAGTGGTATGGTCGAAATGCACGTATTGGTGGCCTGAGCCAGAAACGTATGCCATTCGTAGCCAAAATATGGGGAAGAAGATGCAATAGAACAGCTGAGCATCTAGTGTTGTGGGACAAACACTGAGGGCTGTAGCTGCAAATGGTTGGAGAGTGGGTTCAAGTGCAAGTCACGCACGTGGGGCTCCACGCACCGACTATGAGGGCTGCCTGGCAGTGCGGGCTTGTGTAGGCCACTGACATCATGGTCGCCACCGTGTCGTTTGTGAGCGTCACCGACTTAACCTCAAACTCCTGCAACAACCCACAGCAACCCCATTACATGTGGGAGAGGCACAGCGTGTCTACAGTGCACGCAGAGCATGTGCAGGGGGTGTGCAGGGTGAGTGAACATTGTGTGCAGGTAGCATGCAGGATGTGTGCACGGTGTATGCGGAGCATATGCAGGACATGTGCAGTGTGTGCCGGATATGTGCAGGGTGTGTGCAGGGTGCTCACATTGCGCCGAGCAATGGCCTCCTTAAGCAATGTCACCACATCCGTTCCCTCACACCCCGATGCGCCAAACATCTTGGTCCATTTCATAAGCTTACCCTGTCCGCACAGAATCAACAGCATCATGGCCTAGCATGGTACCGTGTGGTGGGGTCGTGCATTATTGTGTGGTGTGGCAGTGTGTCGAGTAGCATGGTATGGCTTGATGGTGTATTGTGGCGACCTACATCTCATCTCAAACGTTTGAAAGGGCACCCCCAGTGGCATCTGTCCCCGTGGCACATGGTGATATAGCACCTGGCCTACAATCAGGTCTTTGTCTGACAGTAGAGGGTAATGAATGTGGTGTGTGATCCCAATACAGCAATGTTAATCTTTAACGTTTGCTGTAACGCACATGACGTTATTCTACATGTAATATACAGGCAGTAATTACCAGGGTAGGCTACTGGGTTAAAACTATGAACCTCGACAACACGCAGCCAACGCACTACTGCAGGTCAATGTTACTTCCCCAAGTGAGCCCTGCCAGCAGGGGAATGAGAAGATGAGCCCCACGTGGATGGATCGGCCGCTCCGGCCACTCTCCTGCAGCAGCTCTCACGCGCACTCTGCCAAGTGGTCGAACAGCTGGAGAGTGAAGCGTACATGCCAGCGTCAGAGCCAGAGGCAACAGAGACTCGCACCGGTTAGCACACGTCATGGGTGTTTACCATGATATGGGAAAATTATGGTGCGGCATGTCGCAATACTGTACACACATTTATAATTATATACAAGTAATTGCATTGCATAATCAGCTCGTGTGCAGGTGCTGGATGGATTTGTTTCATCGCAAGATCGTCAGAGGTGGCGATGGCTTGTCAAGGCATTCATCCAACAGTGGATTGATCAGGGCACATCATAACATTTGGTCTAAAAAGCATTTCTGGAAGAGTTATCAGGTGAGCTGCAGATAACTGGCTTTTCAGTCAACTCTGAAGCCCTGCCTGCCAAAACGTGGAGTCTTGTCTCCGAACAGTAAATATAATTTCTGTTGTCAAGCGTTTCTTCATGAAGATAAGGTCACAGGCTACTGACCCAGCGCATTCATATAAGACAGAGTAACATCACCAGCACAGAATTATATCAAGATGTTATATTGTGTTCATCAGCATATCCAACAAGTACATTTGAATTCGGAAACCGGGATTTTATGTTAATGTGATCCAGGCGGATGCGGCAGACCTTCTCAGCAGTGCCCCGCTGTATGTTCTCGGGCACAGAGTAAATCTTTTTGAACACGGAAGCCTCGCGCCGGCCACCCCCTGGCAGCTTCACCAGCATCACAATGAAGTTCCCGTCCCCGAGCTCCAGCGTCAGGAACTCTCCCTTCCCTGCCAGTGTGATGCATTAGTGACTCAAGAGATTGGACCTAAAGACATACGTGCACATTAGGCCACATCCAGACAGCAGTAAGAAATATGTTCCCTGGCCCCAATTAAGTGCTGGACAGGCTGAAGACCGATTGAGCTGCGTGGCGTTTTAGGCTGCGTGGGTTTATGCCATGTCTCTGGTCATTGTTGCAGAGACATAAAGGCTCCCAGGAAGAGCTCGTTGAACATGACCCACTCATGTTCTTGCTCCATGAAGTCCAGTCATCTCAACCAACCATGTGATACAGAAGGGGACAAGAACACAACCTAACATCAATCTTCCCCAAAATGTTTAGCCCTGCATTTTCTTCCCTTATAACCATGACAGGAGAGAGACAGCACGGGCTGCCGACACGTGATAGCAATGAAGTAACGACTAAGAATCTCCTGCTTTGTTGAATGAAAACAAGCAAATGTCAAATCTCCTGGAGCATCGATGGTCGTGGGCGTGCATTGTGTCACAGTGCCCTCACTGAGGGTGCAGCTTGTAGACAGAGCCGGCCACACCCACGGTCGTCTGCAGCCGATCCTTGGCCTGGTTTTGTCGAATCCGTGTCACCACGGCAGCCAAGCCGGCGGCACACAAGTGGGCGGAACGAGTAGACACCAGGCAGCAGATCAGACAGGCGGCTTCGCAGTCCTGCACTGAAACTTGCAGCCCCAAGTCCTTGAGGATCTTCTCTGCCTTCTCAAGCCCTACATTTTCCCTGGTGTGCCACAGCATAGTAAAATCACCTGTTAAAATCATCCTTATACCAGACTAAAAGATTAAAATACCTTTTAAAATATCAATAAAATTATCATATATCTGATATATAATCAATGTGTGATGCAGGAGTCTCACTTTTCCATGGCAGACACGAAGCGCGTCTCGAATGATCCCTTGGTACCAAGCGCAGATGACACCTTTGCTCCAAAAAGCAGCCCCTCCTCCGTGAGCTTCACCAACACCAAGCGCACAATCTCACCCAAGTACATGCCGCTGATCATCTTCTCGTACCTGCTCAACCAACAGCACGCAACAGCACACCACCATGCTCCACTCTCACTGCCGTTTCATGACACGTGGGACAGTGTCGTAATGCAACCAAGCCAGTGCCGGTACCATGAGGGTGACATACAGCTGCTTGCCGGGGTTGAGAGAGTTGTGGTCGAGCTCGCGATCAAACTCGGTGAGCACATCATCGAGCGCTCCATCGTCCCCGAAGGCGCCCCACTCCGTGTTGACGCACATGCGGCCCTCGTCGCCTTCCACCAGCTCCACGTTACTCAGCTCCTCCATGTAGCACATGTTAGTGCCCGTGTCTACAGCAATCGCACAGCGCACACAGACATACACGCCCGCACGTCACTACCTGTATTTTGTACAGTAGGGAGTTTATCAGTATTTATTTGCTGATGTTGGGGTTGGCGAGTGAGCCAGTGAACGGCTTCAGGAGCAGCCTGGTGAATATCTAAAACGCTGCCAGCAAATTATCGCAGTGAGTAGTAGAGTTACTACGTGATCCATGGTTTAAGATTGGTGACTACGTTGGGCTATTCTAGGTTCTTTCGGTAAAGTCACGTAGGTATAAAATAAAATAAATTAAATCACGACGTTTCGGGCGCAACACAAGCGTCCGTCATCAGGTGGGACAACCACAGCAAGAAACAATTGCTGAAGTGGGCAAAAGAGCTGCTGTGACAAGAGGCTATATAGGTAAGAGAGGGGGGAGGAGCCAGGGAAGAGAGAGAGAGGGGGGGGGGAGTGGAGTGCTGCAAGCTATATGGATTACAGGGCGAGCAAGGTACGAGCACGACAAAATGCCGGGGGGGGGGGGGGGGGGGGGGGTGGGGGAGAAGTGAGCGGGACTGGGAGTGGGAGGCTGAAGAAACTGGAGATGCGGATATGAAGGCAACACCATAAAGCAGTTAAGGGTTTATCTGGTTAATAACATCCTTCCAATGATTGCTCAATTTGTATCCATCTTCTCGGTTGAAGTTATGTCTATGTTTATATATCTGGATGGCTTCATGAACAAACCTTAGATAGTAGCCATAAGGTTGCAAAGTACCTTGGTCTCGGAAAAAAACAATATCATGCGAGCCCTCAGCGTTATAGCAATGGTCAGCCACGGCAGAGGAATTAGTTCTGCTGTGTTTCAGGTTTGACTTGTGCTCGCGAACATGGTCCGAGATATGTCGTTTCGTTTCCCCAATGTAACACCCACCACATGTGCAACTTAGTTTGTAGACTCCAGGATATTGCATGTCAGGAATTACATCCTTCACAGATGGGATTAGATCACGAATTTTGTGTACTGTACTGAATCGGACCTGGATCTTGTGTTTGTTTAAGATTTTGGAAAAAAAATTGGTAACGCCTGCTATGTATGGTAACATGATGGTTTTGATCGGCGTCTCAGGGGGATGTTTCTCAATGGTTGGAGAAACAGCTTTGCGAATAATGCGGTCCGAGTACCCATTCATCTTGAGGGCCTGGTGTACGTGTTCCAGTTCACTGGTTAGGTGGTGTTGGTCAGAAATGCAGTGGGCCCTATGGTGTAGTGTTTTGATGAGGGAATTCTTCTGTGCTGGGTGGTGGTGGGAATCAGGTTTCAGATAGGAACCTGTGTGGGTGGCTTTCCGGAGACAGAGTGTCCCAACGAGCCATCAGGTCTCTTCTCAAACATAACATCCAGGAATGGTAAGATTTCCAAAATCTTAAACAAACACAAGATTCAGGTCCGATTCAGTACAGTACACAAAATCCGTGATCTAATCCTGTCTGTGAAGGATGTCATCCCTGACATGCAATATCCTGGAGTCTACAAACTAAGTTGCACATGTGGTGGGTGCTACATTGGGGAAACGAAACGACATATCTCGGACCGTGTTCAGGAACACAAGTCAGATCTGAAACACGACTAAACTAATACCTCCACCGTGGCTGACCATTGCTATAACGCTGAGGGCTCTCATGATATTGTTTTTTCCGAGACCAAGGTACTCTGCAAACCTTCGGGCTACTATCAAAGGTTTGTTCATGAAGCCATCCAGATATGTAAACATAGACATAACTTCAACCGAGAAGATGGATACAAATTGAGCAATCATTGGAAGATGTTATTAACAGGTAAAACCTTAACTGCCTTATGGTGTTGCCTTTATATCCGCATGCCCAGTTTCTTCAGCCTCCCACTCACTCCCAGCCCCGCTCACTTCTCGCCACCCCCCCCCCCCGCCCCCCCCCCCCCGGCATTTTGTCGTGCTCGTGCCTTGCTCGCCCTGTAATCCCTCTAGCTTGCAGCACTCCACTCCGCTACCCCACACCCCCGCCCCCCTCTCTATCTCTCCTCCCTGGCTGCTCCCCCCTCTCTTACCTATATAGCCTCTTGTTACAGCAGCTCTTTTGCCCACTTCAGCAATTGTTTCTTGCTGTGGTTGTCCCACCTGATGATGGACGCCTGTGTTAGACCCGAAACAAAGTGATTTAATTTATTTTATTTTATACCTACATGACTTTACCGAAAGAACCAAAGAGTATTGATCCCTGCAGTCACGAAAACTTCAAATCTAGACTATTTTAGGTTGTCAATTAATGTAGAAGATAGCCGTGCAGGCCATGCAATGTTCTAATTCTCTTACAGACCATTGGTGAGCTGTAACCCAGAGGATCTACTGTGGAGTTGTTCCAGATTCCACTGACCTGAGCCTCAGGATTGAAAGAGAGGACTTTGAGAGCTTCCGCTCAATCCCATAGCGAGTTGTGGGACTTTAATCTAAACCTTGGGATGTTCTGAAGATCCACACTACTACTGGGACCTAAGTTGAGGTCAGAGATGTGGACATTGCTCTCAAATGCAAGCACGATGCGCAGAGTGTGGTGGTAGCTTCCCCCAGAGTCATGTTGACAAGTATGTGTGAGACTTGCCGACAATGAGGCCGACTTCACAACGTTGGTCATCGTAGCCGCATGTCATCATGGTGCCCACGGTATCATTCACCACGATCACTACGTCTATGTCAAAGTCCTGTAAGGATATAGTCACACATCATCGTACATCAATTCATGACACAACATGGCAGAACAGAAAATACTACCGCAAATTACACCTGAACAGCATTCATGCATCCTGTCGCCAGGCTGCACCCACCCCACGACACTTGATGGCCTCCTGCAGCAGCTGAATAATGTCACGACCCTCCACACCACTCGTCTTGAACCCCTTTGTCCAAGTCAGCAGTGTGCTCTGCCAAGGACATGACATCACGGTTTCAAAAAAAATTCTGCCTTTCAGTATCAGGGATGTACATTTGTGGTGGGTATTGTGAGCCTCTGTAGCGACGAACATGTCTTTAATACCAACTCCAACCCCAGATCACCTCGCTCAGCCCCACGGTACCTCATCCAGCTTGGTCTGCTTGCAAGTGTTGCGGCGCAATCCACGACTCCGAAGCAGGTTGCGGTTAGGGGCTCTTTCCACGTTTATTAAGGGCTTACGCCAAAGTGTGTTAGGGGCTTACGCCAACCCACCCCCCTAGCCGATAACTCCCCAGGGGACAGGGGTACCAGGATCCCTACAGCCCTGACTAACTCGGCTCTCCTCCCTGCCCAGGGCCGGGACTACCCCAACCTCAGCCGGTCGGGCAGAGTAGCCTCCCCTAGCCTCGGGTGAGGATCAGCTCCCCTGAGTCCCCACTCCTACCCCCGACAACCCCCCGTTACATCCCGGGTCCCCCTTTAAAGAACCCCCTAGGGCATGACGTCACTGTCCCCCCAGGGTCCGCCTGACATCCCGTTCTGCGACGCCACTCTCTCCGAGGGCGAGCGTGACGTGACGTCACTTAGGGGCAGTGCAGCCATACCAACTGGCCCCTTTCCCACGGAAGGCCAGCAGCCTGGTGTTTGGGCAGGCGCTCGGTAGCTGCCTGCTGGCTGGCCGAATTCTCCATTGCCGCTTGCCGCGCCTCACGCAGCCGATCGAGCGCAACCCTCATGGGCGCAGGGACAGGCGAGCCCTTCCTGGAAAGCCCCAGGTCCAACTGGACATGCATCGGGGGCTCGGATTCCCTCCCGTACATGAGATAAAATGGGGAGAACCCCGTCGAGGCATGAGGAGCCAACCTGTACGCGGCCAGCACCCCTGGGATGAACAGGTCCCAGTCCGATTGGGACGCGCTCACGTGATGGCACAGCATAGAAGTGAGCGTACCGTTCAGTCGCTCTACCATCCCGTCGGACTGGGGGTGGTAGGGCGAGGTGCGGACCTTCTTCGTCCCAAGGAGGTCACAGACCTCCTTGAGCAAACGAGAAGAAAAATTCCGACCCTGATCAGTCAAGAGCTGTTCTGGCGCCCCCTTATCAAGAACATACCCCTGAACGAATGCCTCAGTGATGGACGAGGCCGATTGGTCCACCAGAGGCCACGTCATAGGCCAACGCGTGAGGTACTCCACCACCACCAAGAGGTACCTGTAGCCCCGTTGGAATGCAGGGAATGGCCCCAAAATGTCGAGTGCCACAAGCTCATTCACACGAGAAACCCGAATGGACTGCAGCGGTGCCCGATCTTGACCCACTAGAGCCTTCCTCCGCGCGCAGTCGTGACAACCTTTCAAAATAAGGGCCACATCATCCTCCACACCCGGCCAATAGTAGTCCCGTTTAAGGGTTAACAAGGTCTTATTGTAGCCAAGGTGCATAAGTTTCTCGTCAATGGCCCTGGTCAACTTACCTCGCAAGCCAATGGGCACAACCATACAATAGCGTTCCAACTGGGCATCCCAACGCATGAGGAGGCCGTCATGTACGGCGATCACCGAGGCAGCCGACGGAGCGGAGCTCCGGGCCTTCGAGTCCACACGGCGTGGCAGCCTCAGCAGAGAGGAATCCTCCATCTGCAACTTAGACCATACGTCCCGGGGGAGCCCCAGACCGATATCCACAGGTAATGCCACACCCGGAGGGGGCGCTGCTTCGGCCGATGCGACCAACTGGGCCGTGGTGTCCACTGGGGCCTTACAGCGGCTGGAACCCAGGGCACAAGCGCACCTGCCGTCCGGGGGCAGCCTGGAAAGGCCATCCGCATTCCCATGCCGAGTCCCCTTCCTATGGATGACATCCAAGGGGTACTCCTGGAGCACCTCGAGCCAGCAGGACATCTGGCCCGAGGGTTGGTCAATCCACAGGGAATACTGGAGGGCCGCATGGTCGGTTTGGACGGTGAACCGGCGAACATACAAATACGGCCGGTAGAGCTGGACTAAAAAAACAATAGCCAGCAGCTCCCTCCTGGTCACACAATACCGCTGCTCAGTGGGAGACAGTACCCGGCTGCCGTAGGCCACTACCCTTTCAACCCCATCGATCACCTGGGCGAGAACAGCCCCAATGCCTGTGTCACTGGCATCGGTGTCGAGGAGGAATGGCCTAGAGAAATCTGGGTACCCCAAAGGCGGCGCACACGCCAAAGCCCTCCGAAGTGCCCCGAAGCAGCCTCTTCCTCCGTCCCCCAGCAAAATTTCTGACCCTTGGCGGAGAGAGCGTGCAGTGGTTTCGCAAGAGTCGCAAAATCACGGACGAACCAGCAATAATACAATGCGAAGCAAACAAAACTATCGCACCTCAGTGACAGACGTCCGAACACGAGCAGTCTTTTCCGGATCCATGGCAACACCTGACGCACTCACAATGTGTCCCAAATACTTCACCGATGGTTGCAACAAATGACACTTCTGGGGTTTGAACTTCAAGCCCGCGGCGCGCAACTTGGCGAACACTGCCTCCAGACGAAGCAAGTGCTCATCAAATGTGCGACCAAAAACAATCACGTCGTCCAAGTAGATTAAACAAGATTCCCACTGCAGCCCCGCCAAGACCATCTCCATGAGATGCTGGAAGGTGGCCGGGGCCGAATGAACACCCATAGGAAGCCGATTGAATTGGAACAACCCCTGAGGTGTGCAGAACGCAGTCTTAGGTCTGGAGGCCTCGTCAAGCGGCAACTGCCAGAAGCCCGAGAGCAAATCTAGGGTCGAAAAAAACCGCGCACCCGAGAGAGCGTCGAGGGAATCATCCATGCGAGGCAATGGATATGCATCAGCCACCAAGATCTTGTTCAATTTACAGAAGTCGACGCAGAAACGGAGACTCCCATCCCGTTTCTTGACCAGCACAATGGTGGCACCCCATGGGCTGGTGGATGGAGAGATGATGTCCGCCACCAACATGTCATCAACCGCAGAGGGGACATGATCCTTTTCCGCCGCGCTAAAGCGGTGTGAATTTAGCTGAATAGGGGCCGAATCACCCGTATCAATGTGATGTTCCAGGAGAGTGGTTCGTCCTAGATCGAATTTACTCTGGCTAAACACATCTGTGAACCTGATTATGAGATCGTGGAGCCGCTGGCGCTCCGTGGAGAACAACGAGACATTCTCGTTGCACAACGCATCGATCCATGATGCATCGTTCCTCCCTATGGGCAGCTCACCCACCACAACCCCTCCCGGAGGCCTAGCGCCGTCGGCCGGAGGACCCAGGATGGCGTGCGCCAACACCGCACCCACCGGGACAACGACCGGCAAGGGTCCCAAATTCAGGACCTGTAAAAAGGGATCCCGGCCCACTGACACAGCCATCAAAGCGCCCACCAACCCATCGGACCTCGAGAAATAATTGGAGGGAGACAGGAGGATACCTGTCCCCGGGGACTCCAATTTCAACGGACTGCGCAGCCTGAGGGGTAGCAAGACCTGAGACCCGGGCGAAACGGTGACGGACCTCGTGGTCAGGGCCCGCACACTCGTGGCCAAGGGTGGCAACCCAGAGGGGGGTTGCAGAAAATGCAACCGCCCTCTCCACACACCCCTGGTCGACCAGGATCTGCACGGGCATCCTGGCCAAAAAATCCGTCCCCAGAAGGCACGGCACCGCCAAGGTTTTTGAGACCAGAATGGGCCCCACCAATTCAATTTCGCCGAGTGCGATGGAAGCAACGACGTGACCCACAATACCCAGGCTGCCCCCGTTCACGGCCACACAACCCCCGTGAACCGGACGCAGAGGGCCGATGCTGCGTGGCAGCAGTCGATAAATGGTCTCTGAAACCATGGTGGCAGACGCACCTGTATCCACGAGGATCCGCACGTCCACCCCATGCACGCGTCCCGCAACGGCCGAGGACCCCGCAGTGGCAGCCACCACGTGATGCGCGAGGGCCCTCCACTGGCGGGTCCGTCTGGGCCACCCCCCCGACGTGCCCGACCGTGGGGCCCACGAGCCCGACCCCCTCGAGGTGACCCCCTGAGGATGGACCCTAACCCCGCTAGGTGCATGAGGTGAAGCGAGCAGCCGCGTGATTGATGCATCGCGACTCGCCTGTGGGCGCGAAGGCCCCGCCGTCGGAGATCCGGTAGCAGAAGGGGAGGCCTGTACGAAGGCCCCGGGGGCGTTATTACAGCCCCGCTCGAAGTGGCCCTGCTGGCCACATTGGAAGCAGGTGACCTGCCCCGTGGCTTGCGGACGAGGAGGTCCCGCCCGCCACCGCCTCTCCGGCCGGCGAGCAGCCCCCCCCCGTGACGGTTGAAGGCAGCCACAGCCGCGAGGGTGCCCTCACCCTGGGCCGTGACTCCCGCGTCCAGCGCCGCCGGTAGTGGGACGCCCGCGCACGCTGCCATCATGGCCGGGCGTCGCAGGGCGAGGTGAGCCTGCATGTTGTGCGCCACAGCCAGCGAAGTTATCTGGGCCTCCTCCGGGATGGACAACACGATGCCCAGCTCAGCCGCGAGGGCCAACAACCTGTCGAGGGCTAGGGAGTCCAAGCCCATCCCCTCCAGGTCGGGGTAGGCGGCCCGAGCCAGCGCTAGGAGCGCACATCAGAAGGCCAAGGGCGACTCCCCCTCCTCCCGCTGGCGCGGCCGGTGCGGGTACGCGACTCCCCACCTCGGCCATGGTGACGACAAGCTGGTCCAGCGAGTGCTTGATCAGCTCCAGCTGCCCCGCGATGGCACGCCACACACGTCCGGCGGCGGCGCGGCAGCTCCTGCAGCCGCCGTCCCCTCCCGCTCCAGCCGAGCCGGCTCCACGGGGCGATGTTCCGGGGCCCAGGCCCCCGGGTTCGTCGCGAGGCCCTCCCCGACGTCCTCTTCGTCGCGGAACTGCACCGCCGACGTGAGTCTTCGTCTCTAGCCGGGTCATGACATGGCGGCGAGGGATAAAGCCACTCCTGACACCAGTTGTTGCGGCGCAATCCATGACTCCGAAGCAAGTTGCGGTTAGGGGTTCACGCCACGTTTATTAAGGGCTTACGCCAAAGTGTGTTAGGGGCTTACACCAAAGTGTGTTAGAGGCTTACGCCAACCCACCCCCCTAGCTGATAACTCCCCAGGGGACAGGGGTACCAGGATCCCTACAACCCCAGCTAACTCAGCTCTCCTCCCTGCCCCGGGCCGGGACTACCCCAACCTCGGCCGGTCGGGCGGAGTAGCCTCCCCTAGCCTCGGGTGAGGATCAGCTCCCCTGAGTCCCCACTCCTACCCCCGACGACCCCCCGTTACATCCCGGGTCCCCCTTTAAATACCCCCCTGGGGCATGACGTCACCATCCTCCCAGGGTCCGCCTGACGTCCCGTTCTACGACGCCACTCTCTCCGAGGGCGAGCGTGACGTGACGTCACCCACTACTCCCCTACACAAGGAAAGGAGAATGTGAAGGCAAGGGGCAGCTTTTGGCTCTTGATGTTGTGTTTATTCAGGAGGTCGGACAGACATTTGGCGATCAGGTCAAACAGCTGCACACACACAATCGCAACGTGTCAGTAAATGGTCAAATGAGAAGAGCATATATGGTGGTGCAATTATGTCATGCAATGCAGCGTCATCTACAGCCAGGAGAATGGACTCCTTGGTGATCATTAACTAGCGGACTCTCTGGCATCAGCACTCGTGACCCCCACTTGAGTTACCAACCTGCTCAGCGGTGCCAGCCATGACCTCCTTGTGAATGACGTAGATCTCATTCTCTATGAACACTTGCTGCTGGCCACTTTCGTCAGCAATCTTCACCCGTAGCATGCGGAAGTTGGTCCCTCCGAGGTCCTCTGCCTGCTCTGTGAACGTCCAAATAACACCACACGGCAGCATCCTTTCACCACTCACTGAACGTTATACCAGAGACTCATTCACTACCTCAAGCTGTAACAGTAACATGGTCACTGGAGGAAGATTAAGGGAATGCCAAAGGAGGTTGCCAGGCTATGGCAACAATGTGCAGAGTTCATGGCCCAAATTCTTGCTTAAAATAATCAGCAACTCGGTGGTGGCCGCAGCGATGAGTGTGTGTTCACCTGTACCATCAGGCGTGGAGCGCACAAAGACGGCAGCATCTTCATGGAAGCAGCGTCATGGGTCTGCTGGCCCAGGCCGGCATCCATGGCGGCTCGCATGTGTCGGGGAGGCTGGCCCCCGTCTCCCCGCTCATCTGTGATCCACCGCTCCCCTCTTCCGTGTCCTGGGGAGGGCTACTGCTCACCGACTCCCCCCCCCCCTCGCTACGGCCCCTCAGGGCATGATTTATAGGGCTGGTGCATAGCCACCAAAATTCGACACGACTACCTGCCCGGCGCCGCGCACCAATCGCACGCGCGGGACCCGGGGTCGGGGGTCAGAGGGCAGGGGCGTCACTCGTACGCGCATAGCCAATTGGAGGAGGTGCCCCGAAGCAGGTTTAAAGGGCTGTACGACCAAACTCACAGGTACGCCGCCGCTGCACCTCTCGCACACGCTAACTACGAGCTACACGCAGCTAACCTCGCGTGCACGATGCCCGCCTACCTCGCGTACACGTTAACTATAAGCTACTCAGTGGCGAGCGCACACACGCGGGTAACATACACACTCGTACGCAAACACAGGATACCACGACGAGAAGGATCACAGTACCATACTCGCAGGAATGACATGACAAGGTTTATTGAATACCGGTGCTTTATTCCCCCAAGAATAATGAAGCTAAACTACCCGCGTCAGTGTGGGCCAGCAGGGCAGGTCTAACCTATCTCCCAGCGGTCTAGGACTCAATCTGTCCCCGTCTCTCTCCAATCCCTCTCCCTAAGGGATATTCCCCTTTATCTCACCTTTCTCCTCCGTACTCACGGTTCGACTCCAAGGTGCAAGAAGTCGCGGAAAGGCGAGGCTGCACGTAGTCCTGGCTGGGAACGAGGCCTGGCTGCGCTACTACTCGTCTCACGGACGTTCCAGTAGCAGACCCGATGGCTCCTCCGATCCTTAACTCCAGAAGAACCCGACTGCCTTTACTACCTCCTCTCCCCTTTTTATTGTACTTACATCAAAGGTAACGTGCCGCTAATCCCCTGGCCTCTCGTCAAATCAGGAGCCTCAGATTTCCCGCTTCTCTCTAAGCGGATTAGTGCTCTCTTCGACGTCCTACATGGAGAGGGCCCCATGTTTTCCCCGCTGCTCGTTACTCTGCCCCACCCTCTACCTGCCTGCTGGCCCGTGTCGAGTGTGGATGTGTTCTATCTGCAGTGGCTCGCCCCCGTCGTGACCATGTAATTACAAGTCACGGCGCCGCGGTGCACGTAGCCTCGGGGGAGGTCGCCCAATTCCCTGGTCGCAGGAAACCGTGAAGTTTCGTCCCATGAGGGGGCTTCTGGGTGAAAACCTGTCGGCCAGGTGACCTCCCCTCGGGGCTCTATGTGGGGTGTGTGTATGTGTTCATGTGGGGGGTGGTGGGGGAAGCGCTGCGACGGAAGCCGGGTGGCTTCTTTGCTGCAGCACCCCCTCCGCAGGTACGGCTCCGACGGAGCGGCTTCGCTGTTGTGGCACCACACATGCGCACTCTCACCTGGTACAGAGTATCATCCGACAACACCAGGTACTGCAGCCGTTGCTGCATCTGCATCCCCACCAACACTTAAGATGTGACCACACGAGGTCCCTCTTGTTGTAGTAGCGTACATTTCCCGGATGGCTAAGGATTCAGTCCTCGTGCACGAGTACTGAATGATGCAATTCAAAAATTTCGAAGGACACGATTTTTCTAATTTACGATTTATTCCCCACGGTATTTATGCAAGGGAATGCGTACATTTCCACAAGAATGTACGAATTATGAATGTGTACATACAGTATGTTGAACTTCTTTCGCAGCTAATCGGAGGTGTGGAAGAAGGACAACAAACTAAATACAAAAATCAGTTCTATAGAAATACATTTTCAATCTAAGATATTAGTTTTCAATCTAAAATGATACCGACATTACTTGCTGACACAACTGCATGCAAGGAGAGATGTCTGCGTGTGTAGTTGTGCCTGAGCAGTTGTGTGCGTCTCTTCTTTGTGATTGTGTGCGATTGTAGCTTTATTTGAGCGATCTATTTGCATGTGCAATTGTTGGCGCACTTTTGTTATGTATGATTGTGGTTGTTTGGTTGTTGTTAACATTAACAGTTTTTCTAATGACCTAATAATCTATTATAACATTAACATTGCATTCTACTATATCATCAACTTTAAGAACATTTCTAACATAGTTTCCGTTACATGTGTAGTGAGCGACTTCCGACACACGCCTAGTAGAAGGCTTCTTATTTATTAAGAGCACACAGGGTAATACACTTCATAACGCGGCTACACCTAGGCTGTTCAAACACGCAGCCCATCTCCGTTTCTGCACTACGCTGGCTGGTTGACGAGCGTAGCAGCGGCGACGGAGTTGGACTTGCAGAAGAACAGCCGCGTGGTTGAAGACGAAGAGATGACGTCGGCAGCGACGCAACCAGGACCCAGACCCCACACTAACAGCCCCAAACCAGAGGTTCAGTGCTCCTTATATCTGCCTGGCGCGGCCAAGCTCCACCTCTGGCCATGCCTCCTTTCCAGAACCTTGGGGTTGGTTCCCGGAGCTTCTCGACTGACTCTGCCCTTAACCTTTACCCCAGATACGCCCTTTCATAATAAGGCATTATGTAATGCAGCTATAATCGTAATTACCCCTACAGGCCGGCAGGTGTCACCCTGTCATTACATCACCCCCCCCTCCCCCCCCCCCGTGGTGAAAAAATTGCCGTCCCGGCTACCAATAATACTGAAAACACAAGAGAGATTAAAAGCACCCCCTAGAACATGAACAATATAACAAAATGTGTTTTTGAGTAAGGCAGAGCGGACTGCAATAAAGGGGGGATATCAAGCAACAATTTAGGGAGGCACGAGAATAACGATAGGAACAGAGAGGGAGAGAGAGAATAAATTCATTCTGTGAATCACGCAATGCAACCCCCTTAATTCCCACATAACCCCACAACAAATGGTTTAATCGAATTTAGCAACATTTGGACCGAGTTCCCGCCGCCGGTCCGTTCATCGGAACAATCTTCGCAATGCTGACTGAAGATGTGGTCACCGCCTGAACTTCTAAGAAAGGTGGTCCCTCTCCTGCCTTCGCAGGTATCGCGGCTTCCACCTCGGTGAACGATGCCTCGCGTTCGGCGAGATCATGGCCCACGTCGATTAGGATTTCGGAAGCTGTTGGGGTTGGGATGCAGCTGTGGTGCCACAGCAGCGAAGCCGCTTTGTCGGAGCCGTGCCTACAACTGTGATGCTGCAGCAGCGAAGCCGTCCTGCCGACACCGTGGCCGCGACGCCGCCACCTCCGAGCGACGGGGCCGACGCTGCTCTTCCCTCACCACCCCCCACATAAACACACACACACCCCCACATAGAGCCCCGAGGGGAGGTCACCTGGCTGACAGGTTTTCACCCAGAAACCCTCTCATGGGACCAATCTTTACAGTTTCCTACGACCAGGGAATTGGGCGATCTCCCCCGAGGCTAACTCGCACCACGGCACCGGGACTTGAGTTGTAATTACATGGTCACGACGGGGCTGCTCAGCCACCGCGGGTAGAAAACACACACAACACACATGGGTCAGCATGCAGGTAGGGGGGCGGAGTCACGCACGGCGGGAAAACAGGGCCGGTCCTCTGATTGGTAGGACAAATGTGCTTGTGTAGAGGATAAAATGCGGACGTCTGAGAGAGCACCGGCCCGGGGAGAGTGGCAGGAAATCGAGCCACCTGATTGGCCGGGAAGGCCAGCGGATCAGCGCCGAATTATCTTTGATCTAGAGAACAATAAAAGGCGAGAGAAGGTAGGGATAGAGGAGTTCGCGTTCTCCTCAAGTCAACCATCGGAGCAGCAGCTTGCCGGCCACTGGGTCGTCCGTGTGACGAGTCTCAGCGAAGCCAGGCCCCGCTCCCAGCAAGAACCTCATGCAGCCTCGTCTCTCCGTGACGGCCCGCGCATCCGAGGTAAACTGTTAGTACGAAAAAGACAGTTGGGATTTAAGAGTAAAAGCCTAGGGAGGTTAATTCAAAATAGACGGGACACATTGGGTCTTAGACCGTCGGGAATAGATTCGTTATTCTACTAATGAGAATAAACTGTTGGTGATCAATAAACCTTGTCGTGTGGTTTCTGCGAGTGTAGAATGGGCGCATGGTGGTGTGCATCGTTGTACCCTGTGTTTGGGCGCGAGTGTGTATTTACCCACGTGTTTGCGCCCGCCCATGCGTGTAGCTCGTGGTTAGTGTGTGCGTGTGGTGAGCGGCGGCGGACTCGTACAGGGGCACGTGAGATTACTCATACGCCCTTTTGTTTAACGTGTGCATGAGGCAAACGAGCGGCATACCCGTGAGATTGTTCATACAGCCCTTTAAATCATCTCCGAGACACCCCCTCCAATCGGCTACGCATGTACGAGTAACGTCACTGCCCTTTGACTCCTGCCCCCCCATCCCGTGCGTGCGATTTTTGCACGGTGCCGGGAGGGTAGCAGCGTCGGATTTTTGGTGGCTGCGTGTACGTGAGTGTGGCGCGACTGCGTGCGGGGAGCCTCCTACTAACGTTTGGAGGAGTGCACGCGGGGAGTGTGTATGAATGACCCGAGGTGGCCGAGAGCCAGCCAAGATTCATGTCTCAAAAGGGGGACGCGGAAGCAGCGAGGTTCAAGCTACGAGCAGCAGCAACGAGGAGGGGGGAAGAGGAGGAGGAAGAAGGGGGAGAAGAGTCAGGGGGCAGCAGCTCCTACACAGCCGTCGATGGAGCCGGGTGCGCCGGAGACATCGTCGGAGGTTGACGCGGGCTCAGACATCCGTGCGCGAAGTTCCCCGGCTGGCCGTAACGGAAGCAGGTAAGTGCAGCCCTCCATCGTAGACGATCCTCCTCGCGCGGCCTTCAGTCCCACAACCACCGCGGCACCTCTCCCCGTCGGCGACTCCACATTGCGACCGCAGCTGCGACGTCACCCTCCACCGGTAGGTCCTCTATCAGCTGATTCACGACGTACTGTGGTGCCCACCCACGTGGCTCACCATCTCGGCCAGGGTCACCCGTCCAGGCCGCCATCTGGGACCAACGGCGCAAGTTCTCGTGGACCTGCAGACATCGGGCGGCCCATCGGGACGTCTGCTTATCCTCATCGATGACCGGCAAGACGACCCCCATTTTGCGCACCAGCCCCAACATTCTTTCCATCACCAGAGAATCAAGGACTTTCGGGGCTACCGTGGGGTACGTCGCTTCGCCCAACGCCAAAAACGTGCTGCGGAAGGCAAGAGGCGTCTCGGCCTCCCCTCGCCTCCGCTGCAAAAACTTCTTACGGGTGTTGGAAGGTGGTTCATATACTTCGGCCATCTCGGCGCATGCATCATTCGTCTTCTTCCCTGTGGTTATGGCTCAGAAAACAGCGAGTGCATCGTCGTCTAACACCGTGGGCAGAGCTCTCAGCGCTTCCTCCTCGATCCAGTTCACCGACCGGTAAGCTGCCTTGAAGCGCCAAGTGAAAACGCCACAGTTGCCACCTGCCGTGACAAATTCCCTAACAGCGGGCAGGCGGTGGGTCTGTTCCGATCCGCTTGCACCGTCGACAGTAACAGGCATCGCTTCCGGCGAATCACGCCCGTGCTCTGGAATGGCGGCCCCCAGCCGCGCGTCTCCCGCACTGCGCTTAATGGCGGCCTCCGGCCGCGTGGTCTTCGAGACGCGCGTAATGGCGGCCGCTTCACTTGCGGACGTTCGTGACCGTTCTTCAATCTCCGGCGGTCGGCCGTCTCCACCCGGTACGGTATGTGCAGTCAGCCCCGCCAACGTGGTCGCCGTCAGGAGCTCCACCATTTGCGCGAGCGTCGCCCGCAGGAGCTCCAACTGATCCGACACCACGCGCCATCCAAGTTCGGGTTGCTGCTGCGAAGAACCTAGCTCCAGTCCCGCCGTCTCCGGTGCCGCCGCTTCTCCCACCGTGACTTAGGTAACCGGGAGCGCGGTTCCCAGGGCTGTAAGGAGGTCCAGCATCTCGTCCTCATCATCGTCGGAAGACGCGACAGGTGGGTTCCGCTTCTTCTGATACTTCGTCATTGTTTTTATTTTCTCACTATTCCTTTTTATTTTCTCACTATTCCTTTACTCACTCTGACACCAAATGTAGTGAGCGACTTCTGACACACATCTAGTAAGAGCACACAGGGCGATACACTTCATAACGCGGCTACACCTAGGCCAGGGGTCGGGAACCTTTTTGACTAAGAGAGCCATGAAAGCAAAAAATTTGGAAATTTATTTCAGTGAGAGCCATATAATATATTTTAAAAGTGAATTCAACTAAATGTCAGTATAATAAGCCTCTGAATTTATTCTTTTAAATAATGTTGTTATAACACTCACCATTAATGCGACTTCTGGTGCTGCATGGATTTGCTGATGTCTTTGTAGTCGGGTTGGTACTTGGTGAGGTTAAGCTTCATGCAAGCGTTGAGGCTTTCATCCGTTAAACGTGATCGTAGGTTGGACTTGATGTTTTTAAGATGTGAGAATGACTGCTCACATGCATACGTAGATCCAAACATGGTCAATACAGCAATACTCACACGCTGCAGTGTGTGGTATGTGACAGGAAGCGCGTTCCAAGTTTTGAGAATCAGCTGGTCTTCGGGTTGGAGTTTTTTTCATTTCTGTCCACATGTGCTTGCTCGCCAACTCCGCTTTCTGTCGTGTGATTCTTTCCAAATCTTCATTCAGTGACTTGAACTTATTCACCCACATGTCTGAGGCCTTCAGGTCAGCCACTTCTGCTTCAAAATCTCTGACGGAGACACCAGGGATGTAATTCAGGTCGGCTGTGTTCAGTGAACACTCGTTTGGATGGGTGATGAACTTAAAAAGACGAGTGTGCTCACGAAATTCTCCAAAGCGTGCTTTGAAGGACTGTAGGAGACTGGATGTGCAGCCAGCTAGCTGGTGGAGATCAAGGTTTTGAATGGGCTCACTTGCTGTGCATGCATCTTTAAATTGGCTCAGTTTTTCAAAATGTAGTAAACGACCTGTTTCAAGATCCGTGATGAAAAGCTCCAGCTTGTTTTCAAAGCAAATACAGCTTGTTGAAGGGATAACACTGTATTTCCAATGCCTTGCATTTTCACGTTGAGCTGGTTCAGATGTTCAGTCAGATCTACGAGATAGTAAAACTTGAGGAGCCACTCGGTGTCGGCTAGCTCAGGATGCCCGACGCCTTTCATTTCAAGGAAAGTCCGGATTTCGTTCAGGCAAGCCGCAAAACGGCTAAGCACCTTCCCTCTTGACAACCAACGCACATTGCTGTGCAAAAGCAGACCAGGATAGTTATTTACAACTTCATCCAGCAGTGTTTTAAACTGGCGATCATTTAAGGCTCGGGCAACAATAAAGTTGATCACACGAATGACCAGCGACATCACTTCGCCAAACTGCCTGTCACACATCTGAGCACAAAGTGCCTCCTGGTGTATAATGCAATGGAAACTTAGGATGGGTCTATTTTCATGTTCACGGAGAAGCGCCACAAATGCTTTGTTTTTCCCCACCATACACGGAGCACCATCAGTACACACTGAGAGAAGTTTATCCATAGGTAGATTTTTTTCTTGAGCAAACTCCATGAAAGACTTGAATAAATCCTCACCTCTTGTGGACCCTTTTAATGGCAGAACAGCAAGACTTTCTTCGCGCAGTGTGTCACCAACAGCATATCTTGCATTCACGCTGAACTGCGACAAATGGCTCACGTCTGTTGACTCATCCAAAGCCAGAGAAAAGAACGGCGCTGCATTTATGTCCTTCACTTGCGTTTCCTCCACTTTGTTTGCCATCACGATGGTACGATCATGAACAGTTCTTGCCGACAGAGGCATGTCTTGTATCCGTTTGATTATCTTGTCTTTGTTCGGAAGATCATCAAAAAGTTCATTGGCTACATCCAGCATGAACGTTTTAGCATACTCGCCATCTGTGAATGGTTTTCCGTTCCTCACTATTGCTAAAGAACCAGCAAAGCTAGCCGAATTATAGTCACCTTGCCGGGTCCATACGCGGAGTTGCTGCTGGCTAGCTTGCACCCTGCTCAGCTCTTGGCACGCTTTCTTTCTGCTGTCTCCCGCAGGGTATTTTGATGCAAAGGTAGCGTGGCGCGTGTCGAAGTGCCGCTTTACATTCGACCGTTTCAACTATGTAATTTTGTCATTGCAAATTAGACACACCGCAGAACCCGCTCTCTCCACAAAGGCGAATTCTTCGGTCCATTCGTCCTGAAATGTACAATACTCGTCGTCTTTTTTTCTTTTCGCCATCTTCTTCGTCGAAGGGTTAGCTTTGAGCTAATGACCGAGCAGACGCAGTCTCAGACTGATTCAAAAGGGGGCGTTTACCTGTTTTACCCAGCAACGGCAAACGTAGGCCAGTATCATCCAATTAAAATAATGGACAATTGCTCCTGCAGCCCTGAACAGGACATGCGCAGTGAAAAATCGATGGATGGATTAAAACAAGTGAGAATATTTTGTTTTATCTGCGAGCCATATGCAATCATCAAAAGAGCCACATCTGGCTCGCGAGCCATAGGTTCCCGACCCCTGACCTAGGCTGTCCAAACACGCAGCCCATCTCCGTTTCTGCGCTACGCTGGCTGTTTGACGAGCGTAGCGGCGGCGATGGAGTTGGTCTTACAGAAGAACAGCCACGTGGTCGAAGACGAAGAGATGACGTCGGCAGCGATGCAACCAGGACCCAGACCCCACACTAACAGCCCCGAACCAGAGGTTCGGTGCTCCTTATATCTGCCTGGCGCAGCCAAGCTCCACCTCTGGGAACAAACCCGAAGGTTCTGCAAAGGGCCCCCTTTCCAGAACCTTCGGGTTCGTTCCCAGAGCTTCTCGACTGACTCTGCCCTTAACCTTTACCCCAGATACGCCCCTTCATAATAAGGCATTATGTAATGCAGCTATAACTGTAATTACCCCTACAGGCCGGCAGTTGTCACCCTGTCATTACACATGTGTAGTGATATAGAATGGATCACTACGGCACGTAGCGCCAAGTACAATAGAATGAGGATATATGGGGATAGGGGCTAGCACACCATGCAGTACCACACAGTGGGTCGCTAGGGTGCGTGGTACTGGGTGCTAGCAGATAGAGGCTGATGAGTCCTACTGACAGGGTAGGGGATACCAGCCACTCCGCCGACACAGCGAGTGAATGCACGTAATTGGTCACTAGGGAGCGTGGTGCGGGCTGCTGGCGGAAGGGGGCACATGAGAACGAGTCATCCCGGCCCAGGTGAAGCACGTGATGGGCCAGGGTGAGGAATGTGGGGCAAAGGTGACCGAGGGGACACGGGAAGTGTAGCCGGGAATCTTCTGGAGAGTTCCTGAAGGGAGCGTGGTTAAGGGCGGAGCCGGGCAGGTGGCACGTGTAAGGTTGCCTGGAACCTTCTGGAACATTCCAGATGGGGGCATGGCCGAGGGCGGAGCTAGCCCGTGCAGAGAGAGATAAAAGGGAAGCCCTGATCTGCGATCGAGGCTGTCTACAAGTGGAGTGAACCAAGGTGCTCCGTCTCCGACGCCGCGGGTCAGACAACACGTTGGCTGCTCTGACCCGTTATAGTTATCCTGTGCGTAAAGAGAAAGGCATGTTGTAGTCCCGTGTGTAACGGTGTGTAAAGAGATAGGCATATTGTAGTCCCGTGTGTAACGGTGTTATATAGTGAATAATAAACGTTGTTCAGCCTACGTGTTAAACTAATAAACGTTGTTGCCTCCTAACTAGTGTCTCCGAAGTGACTCACTACACATGGATGAAAATGTTTGTGTAAAGTATTCAAACATAAACATCGCATTCTACTATATTAAATTTGATAACCTTTTTAACATATTTAACATTATTCACATAATAAACTATTTTAACATTACAAACATTACTGTGCTTACCTCTGCTTTCTCGCATGGCTGGATGCTGGGTTAATTTCACGGAGGTAGCCATAGATAAAGATCCCCCATGTAGCCTCAATGGATTGTTGGAGCAAGGGTTGTTAGCGAGCACCTATTAAGGCCAGCACCGTTACACAAGCAGGTGGGTGGCAAGCAACACGACCGACCGCCTTTGTCTCCACCAGTGTGCGATGGGTATTTTTACACACTGCACCAGGTACTCGTTTGAGGTCCTAGTCGACCTAAGAGAGAGGCCCAGGACCAGTTCCGGATTATCCTAGTCGCAAAAGTAGCATATGCTACGGGCCCCGCACTTCAAAGGGCCCCGCGCTAAATGCTTTCAAGCTATCAATTCCGTTCAACACGTAGGCTTTCGCGACCAATATCATCCATAATAGAAGGGTTTTTGTTGGGTTAGATCGCGTAAATATATAAATGTGTTGTTAAACCCACCACCACCTGACACAGCCAACTAGTAAGGGTTGTCACGTAAACAGAACATGCCAATTCGTCACTAGTACAGCACGCTGGTGTGTTGGACAGCCAAGCCACAACATTTACAATACAAAGTATCCTGGTATCTGGATACATGTTCATTTAAACTTTAAACCTCATATCGAATATTTGATAATAAAAAGGGGACTTTGTATAAACACAAATCCTCTTTCTTATCCTCTACACGTAAACATTTCATAGCTGCTGCCTTTATGCCTCTCACAGCCTCTGTTGGCATACGCCAATCAACCGCGGAAACCACTTTGGATGTGCTACATTTTTTCATTCCGCCTTACACTTCAACAAACAACAAACTACTTTACTGTTCACTGTGGTTATCACCCTCTTTCAACTCGGAGGAATATTCATTGGGCCGAATTCATCTTTAATTCATGGACACTGATGTCAGTCCCTTACCTATCTAGTGTTTATTATTCAGGACAAACCCAATAGAACTATTAGACGTCCCACAGCACTAAAGTGTATTGCATTGTACCTCGGACAAAAAACTCACATGGTTCTTAGGGGCCATCCATAAATGACGTCAAGCACCTAGGGAGGGGGGGGGTCAGACATTTGTGACGATGTGTGACGAGGGGGGGGGGGTTCAGAAATGTGACGTCACATCAACATGCGCAACTTCAAATAAATATAGATAACACGTTATACTTAATTAAATAGACGTTTTAATAAATGTTTTCTACAACATCAGAGTGCAGCGCCACATTAAATACGCACTACAATGACGATAGTTTAAAGCGATTTGATGCATGTTTTATATGGTTTTTTTGGGGGGGAAGAGCTTTGTGACGTCATATTTGAGGGGGGGGGTCTGACTTTTTGTGACGCCGTGTGACGAGGGGGGGGGGTCAAAAATCGTCCTAAATCGCGTGACGTCATTTATGGACGGCCCCTTACTCATTTTATGTTAATGCTCCTAATACCTGGAATTATATCGCTTTCAAAAATGCCCTTGGTACCTCTCCCATCTAAATCACAATTTGATGCCAAGCTGTCAATTATTTATGAAAACTTTACTTTCACTTGACACATTAGTTTCAATATTAGTACAATAAGTGACTCTGATACTACCGACGGGCATGTCCTCTGGTCACGACACTATTTAACAACTATTTAACCACGTAGTTCACATTTCTGGAGCTCAATTATAATTGTGCTATGATCAGTCTAAAAGTAAACTGCCTGAGCCGATTTACATGACAGGGAATGTATGACTGAATATACATGTTTGTGCAATATTTTCAATTTCTCATGTGACGTTCTCGTTTTTGCCCCGATGTATATTTTATTCGTTGCTCTATGTACTTTGCTTTTGTTATTTTGGTGATCCAGGTCACTTGCAAATTAGACTCTCCTGCTTCCTTTGCCTTTTCACCTGGTGAAACAAATAGACTCGATTTAATTTGACCTCACTCCCCACCCAACATCCTCCTTCCCCCACCCCCCCTCTTGTCCCCCCTCCCTCCCTCCCCCACACCATCACCTCCCTCCTCCATTTGTCCCCCCCCCATCACCTCCCCACCACCATCAACCCCACCCCTTTACCTGCACCTCTCTCCTCCCATATCCCCACCATTAAATCCCTCCATTCCCGCAGCTTTGCTTCCTCTACTACATCCTCCGCGTCTCCCATTTCTGCCCTCCCCCACTCCCACCTCTGCACTCAGGTGATGAGTAAATGACGCCGCACCCCGCAGGGCCCACATCAATGCGGCTCTTTGGCTTCCCCCGTGCGGATATTTGGCTACCCCCTGGCGGGCAACCGTTTTATTACATTTTAAACGTAATTTGACGCAAAGATAATAAGGAATGTATTACATACGACATGGAATGGGTCACTGTGAAATGTGTTGGTGACAACAAAACAAAATAACTAAACAGTGGCGTCACTCGGGTTGGTATCGCCCAGTGCGGTAACTCGTGGTGTCACCCCCCATGGACCTCCTCCCGTACCAGACCATACACAATCCGGAGTAATGTTTTTTTGTACTGTTGCTCGTAAATCGTAATTCCCGTATATCACTGAATGTAATGGCAATAGTAGTGACATAAACAACTAGCACAATTTTAATTTCACGTTTAAATTACAATATTATACGTGCAGCCTAAATTTGCTTTTACATAGTTTCACGTGGTTAGAGTGAAAATTCGGTAAGAAAACAATAGAATTCGAAGTAAAAAAAAGTCAAAACATTTGAGAACTACATTAAATCAGATATATATTTGCAAGACAGTGATGTTTTTCAAGAAAATTTTAAAAAGATTCAAATGAAAAAAACCCTGAATTTATGAAGTTAGATTTCTATAAACGTATCAAGAAACATAGCTTTTCCCACCACTTCATGTTTTACATTGTCAATTTCTCTAGTTATCAAATAGTTATTTAATCAATAATTGGTCTACATTTAAGTTTATTATCAATTTTAATCATAGAATAATGTGATGTAGTTGTAAATTGCTTAAATTTAATATTTCTTAGATTATATGAATACTTACAACAAAATTGTTTGTAAAATATTTCTACATTGAATTACAACATTATTAGTAACTGAGCGGAAGCCTTTTTAAAAATTTTCTCCTTTTCCTTTAATGATTACTTCATTCTCAAAAACGTTATTGATATAAGTGCACAAATACTAATTACCACAATATTGCACCTAAAACACCAGAAACTTTGACAAAATCAGCGACTATAAAAACACGAGCATCAACGAAAACAACAGCGCGTGCTCGGAGCGCGTGCAGACGAAACCACGTGGCTCGAAGCGTCACTGCAGTTGGGTAACAATGACTGCTCTGTACGGAGCGCATTCGAAGGTTCAAAAAGTAAATTGGCACAGAGTTTTAGCCTCGTAGGTATATTGATACAGTACATGTAAGCTCGGCTTACGAAAAATTTTGTTATAACAAATTACAGGGATATTTTTTTTAATATTAAAAAATAAATGTCTGCTGAAACACTGCACACAAAATGTAATAGAGAGGCATTTGATGGTGTCACCTCCTCTGATGGTGTCACCCCCTCTGATGGTGTCACCACCTCTGATGGTGTCACCCCCTCTGATGGTGTCACCCCCTCTGATGGTGTCACCCCCTCTGATGGTGTCACCCCCTCTGATGATGTCACCCCCTCTGATGGTGTCACCCCCTCTGATGGTGTCACCCCCTCTGATGGTGTCCCCACCTCTGATGGTGTCACCCCCTCTGATGGTGTCACCCCCTCTGATGGTGTCACCACCCGGTGCGGCACGCACCCCCTTGGTGACGCCACTGGGGCACAAACAGGAAACATACCAAGTTTATTCCATCACATTTTTGTTTAAATCAGAATTTGTCATCTGCTATGTTTGTTGTGTATGCAGGGGCGCAACTGAGGTATGCAGCGGATGCGATGTATAGGGACCCAGTCGGCCACAAGGGGGACCCGAAGATAAAAGTTAAACAAGTACATGTTACGAAAATGTATTTTTTAAAATGAAAAATTACCTGCGGTCTACGATGGACCAAGCCCGGTGAACGCATCTGGCTTTCAGGTCAACAGAGCAGCATCAAGTTGGGCGATCCACCTCCTTTGAGGAAATCCAAGACCGACAGGCCAGCATGAAAGCGAGACGCATAACTTAATTGTATTGTACCTTTAAATATTTTTGATTAATACCGTCACTGTGAGACTGTTTTCCTCTAACTCCAATACACGGTGCACCTAAAATAATATTTATAGTTATAGCCTTCATATTATTGAATATACGGGTTAGAAACATCCGTAGCTATATCAGTAAAAGCGAGTCTGGAGAAAGGAGAGGAGCCCACAGTCAGATCTTGCACACCCCCCCCCCCCCCCCCCCCCGTTGAAAGAGGTTGTTGCGCCCCTGTGTGCATGTGTACAAGTCGCTCTGCTTGTGATGCGGCTCTCGAACGATTTTGGACAAAGACAAAAAAATAGCTCTTCTTTGAAAGGTTGCCGACCCCTGGTCCGGACTTTGCTCCCCCAAATTCGGGCCCCGCGACCTTCGGACCCTGTCCCCACCCAGGACGTGAAACCCTAGGCCTCCCTACCTGCATTCTGCATTCCTGCGGCCAGGTGTCCCCTTGGCCAACGTTTGTTCTGATGACCTTCAATGTGGGTCTCACGCTCGCCCGCCATAGCGCCCTCCACGTCGCTCGACATGACCAGGCACAGAGTTTCTTGCTCAAGAGTTTTATTGTCCCAGCTTCAACTCAAATTTCACAGGTACCAAGTGTCCGGCACCGTCCTCACCCGTAAAAGTTAATCACAATGCTATACGTGAATTAACAATACACGTGCCTATAACTGGCTCATGTTCTCCAGAAAAAGAATAAAAAAACATCCGATAACCAATAATCACAAGGTTTCCAAAAATACCCAATTTGTTCATGCAAGCCTAGCTCTGCTGTCGAGACACTGAATGTCAAAACCAGTCCAGAGATTGTTGAATCGATAGTCATAAAATGATGCCCTCCCAGAAGGCCATGTGGCGGATGGGATGTGTACTTTTATTTTTTACGTGGAGGGACAGATATTATGCAGGAGTTGAACTGTCATGTGTAAGGATGCTAAAATATATCCTTATTTAATTCAGGTTACCCCTAACACGGAAGCGTGGCAACCCTGCCATGGAAATGACACGGGAGGGTTGCTATTGGCTAGCGCAGGTCACGACGCAGTTTGTATAGCATTGCCCGGTGGCCAGTGCTGGAAGCCTCCCATTGGCATAGCGCTGAGCACGCGGTAGAGTAAACGGCTCTGACATTCGGCAACGCGCGACTCTAATTGACCATTTATTAAATGGTACTAAAGTGGATATTTTTAGTGGCAGTTTAAACAACCTTTGACAGCCTGGTAAACAGGCACGACAGTTGTTGAAGTAGATAAGTGACGTGCATCGAGCAACTCATGGCCATTTGCTTCAACTCCCTATTGTGGATTGCGGGTATGATAAACTCGAACTTCTCACCTTCGATTAGCACAGTTGGTTATGTACGGTGCAAAAGAAGTTGAACATACATATTGTGGGTTTACTCTCCAACACACCGGTGTGCGGAACTAGTTACTAAATGCCATGTTTTACGTGGTAACCCTTACTAAATGGCTGTGTCGGGTGGTGGCGAGTTTAACGACATTCATGTGAACGCGATCTAACCCAAAAAAAAACTATTATGGATACATAAATTGATTCATGGCAGCGGCGAGGTAATCATGTCGAAATTAAAAACAAATTTGCCGTTTAAGACAATAGCCAGCAGGAGAAAAGGCTGTAAGTGAAGCTATGGCCCCGGCAACCAGCTCAGAACGCTGTGGCCCAACTCGGCCGGAGGAAGGACTCAAACCAGCTGACAGCGGCAATTTGTGAGCAGCAGCAGTGACTTCTTGGTCAGGGCGATGCAGCGAGTTACAAGTTGAAGTTGTATTCTCTGCAGCGACACCGATTGTATTGTTACAATATTCTCTATTTACTTTGAGGATGCTTTCCTGGAAAACGCGACATGAGGAAAAACAAACATTAACTTATTTAACAATTTACTTAATGATATACATTTAATACGTTCTTGGGGCACAATTTTAGGTACAAATTTGCATAAACAAATAAGTACCAAAAAAAGAAAACAAAAGATTTCCAAAAATATTTAAGAAGTTTAAATATTTGTTAATATAGATTACAGGAATCCACCGTAATAAGTTACAGCATTATGCATTGTTTGCATGTACGTTTCTGATGAATTTGGGAATATATTTCCTTTAAAATACATTTTTTAGAATATGCGTTTTTATGCATATTTTGTCTGCAATTCTTAAAACTAAGAATGCACGCGGTCAAAATAGACAATTTTGCGATGTAATAATGCACTGTACACGCATAGCGCATACCACGAGAGGATTTCCCTCCACATGGAGGAGGGAAGCTGAACTAGACAATGCGGAGGAGAGGCAGACGTGGTGGAGTCCCAAGGTGAGGGCCTGACAAATGAGGATCTGATATAGCTGGAACGAGCTGAGGAAAGAGGCCAATGAACCAATACCACCACCACAACAAATATTCACTGGCATCCCTACGTATAGCGGGGGATTCCTGTACTTACCATAGATGGCAGCGGAGATTCCATTTAGAGCAGGGGTCCCCAACCCCCGGGCTGTGGACCGATACCGGTCCGTGGCCTGTTAGGAACCGGGCCGCACAGCAGCAGGAGGTGAGAGCGGTGAGTCCGCACGTGGCCCGCCCATTATTTTATTATTTACCACTTCCGTCCGCGCCTCTTTCCGGCACTGCGCACTTGTCTCAGTCACAGTGTTGGTAAGCCCACAAGATCTAACCCTAGTAGCCACAATGAGTAAGCCCACAAGCTCTAACCCCTAGTAGCCACAATGAGTAAGCCTACAAGCTCTAACCCCTAGCAGCCATAATGAGTAAGCCCACAAGCTCTAACCCCTAGTAACCACAATGAGTAAAAAACAAACGTCGCTGGAGAGCTTCTTTGAAAAGGGGGAAAGACCCAATGATGACCCCCCCCCCCGGTCCGTGACAAAATTGTCTTCCACGAAACCGGTCCCTGGTGCCAAAAAGGTTGGGGACCGCTGATTTAGAGGATAGTCCAGTATTTAGGATGGCGATGTTGTAAACACTGCGTAGTGCGTTGTCACGTATGCCGGCCAAACTATTGTTATTTAGAAATGTTCCAAAAGAATGGAGGCAATCAATGCACTTTAAATCGAATTATTTTCCCAAATTCGCTGGCGACGTTATAGTGAAACAACGTAAATAGGAACAACGTAAACAGAGGACTTCCTACTCTTTGGTCCTTTCGGTAAAGTCACGTAGGTATAAAATAAATCACGACGTTTCGGGCGCAACACAAGTGTACCACCTGATGACGGACGCTTGTGTTGCACCCGAAACGTCATGATTTATTTTATTTTCTACCTACGTGACTTTACTGAAAGAACCAAAGAGTATGGATCCCTGCAGTCACGAAAGCTTCAAATCAAGAGAGGACTTCCCGTATACAACCCAGTGCATATGTTAGAAGACAGTAAAGTTTGGGAAAGGAAAACCTGAAGACCTTGCTGTCCTTGCTGCCCTGATCTCCTACATGGTAGATTTACAAACTTAACATCCCTAGCAGCATCATGAGACCACCGTGCTATCTCTGTGAAAATGTAATGGCTTAAATGTAAAGCAGTGCAATGTGCATGGGGGTACACAGGCCACATGTGCTTGAAGTTATACGCAACTAGCTTTACTACCCGGCTTCGCCCGAGACTTGGATTCTTGTCTTGGATTAATAGACGGCCTACGCGGAGGGTGGGGGGGGGTGCGTGACGTCACCAGGCACACTGCGTCACGCTGCCGCATGCGGGTGACATCACAGATGTGACGTCTCCGCTCACTTGCCGTGCAAAATATATCCATTATTGCGCTCCCCCCCCCCCCCCCAAAAAAATATATATACAAAAGTCTATTTTTATACTTTTTGCATTGTGTACAGTCTGAAAGCTACCCACATGCCAAATTTCAAGTTTGTTGCCTATTGGGAAGTATTCTAAACATTTGAAACAGACACACATTCACAAATTTCCCTTTATATAAATAGATAAGTTGTGTATTCAATGTATTAAGTGGGCTAGGGCAAATTCGTCAATGAAGACTGGTAATATATTTCAGCTCGTGATGTCAAGACTTAACAACTGTGCAGAGTCTAAAGAACCATTCAAATCCAATGCACATATTGCAGCAGCATCTGGCAGGTGGTGGCAGACAACCACATGACCTCCACGAGCCAGGCCTGTAGCCAGCCTTGCACCAGGCCGCAAGCCACGTCGCTTACGTGGTGCCGTCCGAGCATCACGCGCGACAACCCCACGGCCAGAGCCCAGGCTAGCACCAGCCACCAGCCAAGCCCCCCGATCCACCCGGCACCTCCGCCCGCCCCGCTGAACGCCAGCACCGCGAGCATAGCGGCGCGCGTGGCATGACCCGACGGGAACGAGTACTGGTCAACGGAGACTGTGGCGAACATGTCCATGCAATTGTGGGAAGGACGCGGTCGCCGCACCACAGCCTTCACCGTTCCCACCATCGCGAGGTCCAGCAGCAGCGCTATGGTGAAGGCACAGGCAAGAAAGCGGCACCACACGCGAGCGTTATCCTGATTTCACCAACATCGGCGATGTAACAGAGGTACCTTTAAACACACTTAAGTAGGCATGAGTTACTCTTAAGAACAGCCCATTTACCAAATGCATACAGCTATGCCAGGTGGCATAGTTAGCGCTACAAAGTTACTCACCGCCTGCCAAAACTGAGTGACGACACCGAGAGTGTGGACTGCGAGTGACAGCGGCAAGACCACCGAGGCATGCAATGTCGCCGGGTCGGAGTGCGAGATGCGTGCGGACCCATGTACACACACTCCTGCATTGCGGTGGCACTGACATCTGGCGTCATTGCACACATTCGGGCTCATCACAATTCATTGTCACGACACGCGTGAGAGACGAACCCGCCACTTCTAACGGGCTGCAGCAGTACTGACACTGGGCAATAGCGGTGGTCCTCTACGAACAAACCACCAGCAGTGCACTCGATCTCGTTCGATCTTGTTCGATCTCTGAATCTAAGTAGGCTTTGCGCCTGGATAGTGCTTTGATGGGTAACCAGCATGCATGCCAGGTTTCCAGACGGTGCTGTGGGGTTGTGCTCTGTGGTGGTCAGCAGAGGGCAGTGCAGGAAAATCGTTGGAGAGAAAATGGTTCTTTTCCATTTTTGGCTACTGTCGTACTCCCAACATGGTTCTGAGAAATAAATGTATGAATCATGAACATCGATATTTTAACCAATTGTCCATTTTGTGAGGTATCTTTAAATTGCCAGTAACTGCAAGCGAATACAAACAAAATCAACGGACGCCCTCTGCATGTGTGACGTAACTTGCTTGCGCTTGCTGGTTGCTCTGGGAAACCACATTGCGTACAAGTTTAGAAACAGCTTTAATATCGTTTTAAGTTACCATATGGGGATTTTTATTTGATCGTAGTTTTTATATTGGGAGATTCATACATGATTATTCACCAATGACTCTCATGTATGATATCATTTCACACATTTATAAATCACCTCATGTACCTCCCCCCCTCCTCCCTGGGACATTGACACGTACACCTAGGGGTCCGCGTGTAACCCCCGGTTGACAACAACTGTTGTAGTGCAGTGGTTCCCAGCCTTTGTGGACCCACAGACCAATGTTAACCCTCTAAGAAATGTCTCAAGACCACCAAGTACAAAAAGCATATTTTTAAAGATTAAAACTATGTCAAGTCATAGTATCGGCATCAGTTCCCAGACCACTTCCCATGACATTGAGGACCCCTGGTGGGCCGGAGATCACTGCTTTGAAGTACAGTGAACACCAAAATAGCACTCATCCAGCAGTGGATTGACATGTCCTTGAGTAGCGCTCACCGAAGAGTATGTTGATCCACCAGTGTCGCTGCACCGCGCTGTGCCCAAGGTACGTGCACAGAAGGCCCCCAGCCAGCCACGGGATGCCGTGACCGCTGACCTCGATGAGCTTCATGAGGGGCCGCCCCGAGGGCCACTTCGACCCGACCCCCGCGCACACGGCCAGGCGGGAGGTCAGGGCCACGTCCCATGCCACCAGGCGGCCCAACAGTGAGGACTCCGGGGTGCCCTCTGCGTCCAGGGGCCTGTGGCTCACGCTAACACCACGACCAGCAAGCAAGACGTTTAGATACCGTGGTAAATTCGATATTCATGATATTCGCAACCGACATCACGGAATACTTATCAAAAGGGAAGCGAAGCCGAAATGGATTTTGTCCCCTTCGCATTAGTTGGGTTTTAAATGTCTCGGCGATGTGGTTGCGAATATCGTGAATATGGAACTTCAAACCCACTAGCCGTGGTATTTGAGAAGCAGAGCACGCAGGGACGAGGTCACCGCCTGGTCTGGATCTGACGGCTCAACAAGGGAGAGACGCGGGCCACTGAGGCACGCACGGTGGCCCTCTGCTCACGGCTGACGTGGAGGCCCCGTGACCCGGCACTCTCAACGTGAACCGCTTCGTTTACATTTCAGTGGACAATGCCACGCAATGTCCTCGTGTGCGTTTTGTCTTTCGTTTGTTGTCTTTCCCCCGCACGTCCGACTAGCACAGTTGGCTACGTGGGTGCGAAAGAAGTTCAACATACGGTATACATGCATGTGGTCCGCACCACTGGCTGTGTTCATGCAATAGGCCTTAGGGCTGACACCAATTCCAATGTAAGTAAATCGCGATGAAGACATTAATTATGCCACCAGATCTCGGTAAAAATCAACTCCCGCTGCCACCCGAACACATGCCAATTCCCGGCCTGTCCCGGTCAAATCCGGACTGGTGGCAACCCGAGGAGACCTCCTGCGGGGAGCCCCAGTCCGGGCCCCGGGCCCTAACCCGCCGCGTCGTCACACCTCGTCGCCGCCCGGACCTCACGGCTCTCGTCGCGGCGACTGAAAAGCGGGGAGCTCACAAACCCGCGTTGCGTGCCGCGGGATCTGGGCTCCATCGCGCCTCCGCCGTCGCCGCCCCGAGACACCCGAGCCCTGGACCCTGGGACCCCGGAGCTCGACCGCGGAAGTGAGCGGGTGACCGCCACACCCCGAGGATCGGCGATGAAGGCGCCGCCTACCGGGCGAGAGCGGCGGGGACCTGGGCCGATCCCTCTCCGCCTCCCGGCAGGGGGCGCCATCTCCCTCCACTCCCCGAGTCCCGGAGCCAGGCAAACGGATGGAGGCAGGGCTGGAGCCCTGCACCCACAACCATGTCCTGGTTTACATTTTATTAGCGACTTGGCACATCATGCCTCCGGGGTCGATTGAGCGCCACTTTGTGGGGAAGTCAACGGTTGGTTGCTCAACGTAACCGGCTCGCCCCCGCCATAGGAAGGTGGAGTCACGCCCCCGGCCGCCCCACTGTCGCTAAGGCTGTGAACAGGAGATGCGCACCGCCTCAATGCTCATTTGGTCACATCCCTGTTTTTGTTTGTTTAAAACAATTGAAACAATTACCGGTGGACTCGTGCAGCACAGGGGATGGGATCCGATGGCATTTCCAAAAGTGTCGGGGGAGTTAGTCGCCGCAATGGACCGATCCACGTGGGCACACACGAGGGCTTGGACATTTGGAGCCAAGGCGATGACCCCGCCTGCTCTTGCAGTGATGACCCCGCCACCCTCCAGGCATGAGGGTCACGAGGAGCCCCACCCCCCCCCCCCCCCCACGAGCACTTCGCGATGTTTCCACTCAAATGCACGCCCGAAAAAGCAACTCCCCCTCCAAGCGGGTTCCATGTATTTATTTTTATTTACAAATAATGCTAAAAATTGTTTTTTTTTACAGACTACAAATGTTACATCACCTGTTCATACACTACATACAGAACCACGTAAAGGGAGGCTGGAAGGCATTTAACATTAAAACAAAGTAAACGGCGGCGGAGAGAAGAGACGTGCCGGATCCGTTGGTGTCAGTGTCCCCCCCCCCCGACATCCACCCTCCCTCAAGTGTTCATCACCAACATCCATGATTAACAATCCATCCTCAGCGTCCACCTTTGGTCCACCCTCAACGCCCACCTTTGGCATCTGCGCTTCACGTCCGCCCCTCGTGACATCCCTTGGCAGCCTGGCTCGCGGCGAGTTGGCGACACGGGCACGAAATTAACTCACTTGGCCACCACCACTCCCCGTCTTTGGTTAAAAAATATACAATCGACAAATGTAACAAATGAAATATAATTTGACTATGCCCATGAAATAGAACAGCTGGTCATTTCACTGTTGCGAATCAAACATTTGCAAACGAGGCAGGGATTTGGCACGAAGTCCGCTCACTCTCGCGCCATCACTCGGCAGCGCCGGCCCGTTCCAACCTCCTCCCGCTACCCCCCCCCCCGCTCAGGGGCCGCAGCTCAGGCCAACGGCGTCAGCCACTGACGCAAATATGAATAAGCGAGCATCGCCATTCTATACAGAGAGGCCTCCCTCCCTCCCGCGTGACAGCAGGCATGAGGTCACGCCAGGGTCGGTGTTGCAGGTGCGATTAAAAGGGTATAACGCAACACGGAGGAGCACAGGGGCTAAAGAGTGATGATAATTTGGGTGGGGGGGCGGGCGGCGTTTCACCATTCCCAATTCCCACCACTGGCCCAGTCACGCATGCGCACAGCCCAACGCAGCGCTGTGCTTGTGTCGTGTTCAATAACCTGTTAAGGCAAACATACATTTGATACTGTGGTCCAATAAATCAGTAAACACAAAAGTCGTAGGTGACAATTCTAAACCTATACCATTCCCTGAATGTGTTGTAAACATTTGGGCACTGACACTACACAACCGCACAGCACAGTGTCACATCGATTCAGCAAATGAGACGATGACCACGCAAGACGATTAGAGGGGGTGAGCGCAGTGTGTGTGGGGGGGGAGATTCCCCCCCCTTCCCGAGGGCCTGGGGTTCACACTCGTCACGACCACTCGGCTTCACAAGCAAAAAGCGTGCAGCCCCGATATTTGCGCACAGCCCGTGGCTCCACCACCGCTCGTTCACTCGCTCGCCCGCCCGCCCTCACTCGACTCGGGAGGGCGAGTGAGTGAGCAGTCACGGCACCGCACGAGGTCGCGGTGGAGCCTGGGAGCATGTGGTCATGGCACTACACACCTGCACGCAGTTTGGCCAGCGGCTATTACCTGTAACCGCCACGTGTCAAAAACAAATCCTTATTAAACATTACATATAAAAATACACAATGACGTTAAAAAGCACAGATTGAAAAGATATCCCAAATTTCTATGTTGACATTTTCAAAAAAGTGAAAGATTGAGAAAAATATTAATAAAAATGCACCATATGCTCAACTGTTGATTATGGCTTTAAACTCTATGCTGAAAATATACATCTAGGGTTATCCTGCGGACGTTTACAAACAAGAGTGGATGGCTGACGCTGAATACATAGACACGGCCCGACCAGGCTTCTTCAGCACGGGCGGGTGGGTGTTCGATTGTGGAAAAGGGGAACGATGAGAGAACCAGCGCAGAGGGATCGACCCCGTGGAACGATATAGTAGGTGGCAGAGATTCAAGCGGCACGGTGTGGAGCACTGGCTGGGTAGCCCAGGGGAGAGGTTGCAAACGGGGAAGAAGGAGGCGAGCCGTGGAGTCTCCAGGATCTGCAGGCAGCCACCGGGATAAACTCCAGCGACTGACAAAGGGAAACCCAAGGGTGGAAGGCTGGGATAACTCCAGGGAAAATAAGAGGATGTGTTCAGCGGATGCAGGTTTGCAAAAGAACTAGCAGGATGTTGCAGTAATGCAATAGAAAACCAGAGCGAGATTTCACGAGTGAAACTAGGTGAGGATTGTACTAAACGTTTAGCTCCGTTACACAAGTAGCGGGCAGTGGAGTTGTTGGGCAGCAGCGCACATTGTGGTGCAAAGCAAAGACCAATTGCAGCCAAATATTTAGACAAACAGCTTTTGCAGCGTTTCCCTTATTTGTAATGCAGACCACAGCTGTGAATTGACTTTAAATGAATTAAATAAAACACAAACAAAAAAAATCGTGAACGTTTGCCTTGCAGAATTACATAGCCAGGACTTCAGGGACACAAAACTGGTAGAATGCAGACAGAGGCTTTGTACAACGTGCAGGCAGAAGACACAGGAGCCATCCACCCCCCCCTCAATTCTGTTGGAGAAGCACATCCTCCGTAGCTACATCAACACAAGACTCCCATGCGACATGGCCCACAGGGTGCTTGGGACAGCCACCGCAGCCCAGCTGGGGCGAGATGTCGGGCCACAAGACTACTTCTGTGCCAGCAGCCCCATGACCACAATTGGTGAGGAGGTGGCAAGCCAGGGTCTGCAGGTCAGGTTACATCCCGACGGCCGGGGAAGGGAGGCTGCTTGAGTACTGCGGCAGGGTCGACCGGGCTCTGCGTTCGGGGCACAGCTTGAAGCATCAACATATTTAACACTCTCTCTGCATTTAGCTCCGAGTACTGATTTTGACTGTAATACATGCACGCACGCGTGCGGACGCAAGAAGAAAAGTGGCATGTACAGAGTCTGCGGCCGCAGTGGGAGACGTGGAAGCGCAACGCAGGTAGTGTGGTTTGCGTCCCCGCGGCGGTCCCTTGCAGAGCCAGCAACTTTCTCGCCGTGGGCACACGACGAGGGTTCGCTTCCCGGCGAGGCGGGGCACACCGGCGGCATTGGTAAACTCAGAAGTCCGGCGCTGTCCAAATAGTATCGCGTGTAACATCACAAGCACGCACGCGCATGGTGCAGTGTTCCCATTCTGGTCGAAAAGTCTGTTGTTGGTGTTTTACAATGTTCGACATCGTCCAGGCCGTCTAGTCATCCTCGCCACCCTCCTCGCGGCCGAAGCAAACCTGAGGACACACAGTCACCAAGCAGGTTCTGTCAACACCACAGCTGCCACACGGCATTTCTTACATAACCCTCAGTGTTTGTTATGTAACTGAAACATGAGCGAGTACTGTCACCGCACGGCAATGACCCTGTGCGATTGCACGAAGGGCACACAGTAGAGCAGCCGATTACAAATGGCGCCACTGTGTGCGAGCGGCTTGGTAACATGCGGGTAGTCATGGCACTCAGAGCTTCTAATGTCCCACCTCGACCACAATCCCTCCGTGTCCAACCAAACTCCAAACTCCCTGCCTCTCCCTCCTGGCCAGACTCCAAATTGAATAATGAAATACTGAACAATGGGCATGACTGCATTGCAACTACTTAACCTCTGCTGAACACACGTCTGCTGCGTTAACATAGGGTGTGGGAGCTCATACCATGCATGCTCGTGTGCATATGAGGGTGTGCGCCCACCTGGCGTCCAAAGAGCCTCTGCAAGAGTCCCTTCTTGGGGGGCTGTGGCGGCAGGTTGTCATCGAGATCTGGGGTGGGCGCTCCGTCCGGTCCAAACACATTCAACTCTTTGAAGCATTCCGTCTCGATCATCTAAGACACACGCACAGGCACACATCAAGAGGGTCCGTGGGGGGCACAGGGTTCAAGTGGGCAGGGGGGTGCATGGGCACTTTCTGGGGTCCGCACCTCGTCCTGCCAGGGAATGGGAACACTGCCGGTGGAGAACTTTGAGTAGAAGTCATCGTCGGCAGGGTCCAGGTTGACTCCCTTCACTGTGGAGAACTGCTCAATGTCCAGGACGTCCTTGCAATAGACAGCGCGAGGCTGTCAACACACGCAGGCACAACACACACACACACACAGTCCCCATGCTGTTCCAAAGGCAGTTGCAATCACTGAGGATCTCGGCTAGGATTGCAGTTGACAGCGGCAGAGGTCACGTGACCAAATGTACCTGTGTAAACCGAAATACAGCACGGCCGCAATCTTGCGCCACTCATCTTGCTGTGTGACCATAGACCAATGGCGTGCCACTGCAACCCGCAACAGCGTCTCATTTTCATCTAATGCAGTTTTTTCCTAATGTTTTTATCTGTAATCTCATGCAGTTCCAAAATGGAAACCCAAGCACTGGGCTCACTCTGTTGAGCTCCATTTTTTATGAGATTACTGATTGAGCATAAATTAAATTAACCACAATATGCCGCTAAGTGGTGGTTACATCACGGCGGCATCTGCGTTTCGGGAGGTGCACAATTTAATCATACACTCCTTTCCCCTTCAGATGGACAATAATGCTCACCGCAATATAACCCTACACAAATGCACAAAGACATATTGGATTCAAAATTTTAAAAAGTCTGCTGTGCGATTGTTATACTGTTCAGAAGTGGCTTTAGTGACGCATTGCCACAGACGCCATTGCTGACTCGGTCTCCAAGTCTGGCCGAGGTGAGAGGAGTAAACAAATGGCACTCATCACAATCCAGGGCGCTGCAGAAGCTCCGATTTTCAACCGAGCGGTCATTACATTTATACACCAAGCGATCGTCCCACCCATTAAATTTTCGTTACTTGCCCCTTTGACAAAGCGCTTTTTGTCAACATCGCAAGGACGTGTGTACGCACATCGGGCACAAAGGGTGGGTCCATAATGCCGGCCTCCAGCCGCTTGAAGTTGATGTTTCTGAAGAATGCGTGGGCCTTCACATCCGATGCTCCACCTCCTTGGCAGCCCAGCCGCTCCCG